GTGTTGTTAATAAGCTGTTTTCAACCCGTGTTGCCTGTTTGCTAATCTAAGCTAACTGCTTGCTGGCGGTAGTTCATATTTACTCTACAGACATGAGAGTGTTGACCACATCTACTGTATTTTTAGGCAAGACATGGCATAAGCGTATTTCCCAAAATTACAAACTATTGCTTTAATGCATTTGAAACTTTCAGGAGTTTGTCTTATTCTTAAAATATGTCAGCAAAGCAGATGAAACAAGTGGCTGTCTCAGAATAGAAGAAATGGGTACATTTTAGGTCCAAATCATAATTTTGTTTTTTACCATCAGATCCATTTTTACCATCCAGCAGAGTCAGATTGTGCATGTGAGAAGTGCAAAGAGTAACTCACAGAGTTAAATAAACACTGCAGCAGTGGACTGTATAGCAAACTTTTTTTTTTTCAGAAAATGACAAGCGTAACAATAACCAAATAAGGGCTTGATAAAAACCACCCACAGCCTCCTGGCCCTCCCCGTACCGCACAGAGAGGGAGCATCCACCCCGTAGGTAGTCAGGCACAATTCATCCCCAGCGTGTTCTCTTCCCACGGTGCTGGATACAAGGGAAGCCAGTGCCTTGTGTGAGTAGGTGGAAGGAAACCTTGTACCTTAGCAACGATGTGCATGTTCTTCTATACCGCCCCCGGCTAAACGGAGGAAGGCAGGGAGGAAGGGAGGGAGTGAAGGAGGGAGGCAGAGAGGCAGAAACAGTGGAGTGTACACCGTCACTGCCACGAGCTGCAGGACCCACTGTGCTGGGTTTGTTTTAGCTCTCTGTTGCCCTCCACTGGTCAACAACTTGAGCTTGATTATCCACAAATAGTAATTCCAAAGCACTTTACAGAAATACATTTTAATAGCTTAACAGATGAGCCAGACTCAATTCCCATTTCAGCCTAATCCTGAGGCTCAGAAATATAAGAGTTGTAATATTGTTTTTGTAAATAAAAAATGCTCTAGTGGAAGTATCCTTTAACCGTTTGATGACAAAAATGAAGAGTAGTAAAGAGTTTTAATCATATAAAAGTCCCTGTTTTTTTCTCCTCCCTGTAGAGTTTTCCCTGTTTTCCTTCAACAATGGAATGGTGGTGTCATCTTGCCGGGAGCTGGACAATAACCGCAGTGCTCTTTCTGCTGCCTCGGCCTTTGCCATCGCCACCGCTGGTGCCAATGAAGGCACGCCAACCAAGGAGAAGTACCGTCGTATGTCGCTCGCCAGCACAGGTCAGTCGCGTGAGGGGATGCTACTTCAATTATTACGATTAGACTATTATTATAGAATTAACAAAAGCAGCATCTCATATCTAGTATGATCCCCACCAAAAACCTCCTTGTTTGGATGACAGATGACTTTGTACAGCAGTTAATTTCTGGTTGAACAAATTCGCCTAAGTGACACACAATAGATAAGCAAAAGCATAAGCAGTTTTATGGCTTATGACCACCAGGGGGCCTCCAAACAAATTGTAAATGTCTGTTTCAGTGATATCTATTATCTGCTTTGTCTGTATCTGGAGGCAGGAAATAGTGTTCCATCAGTGTGCGAATTGATTTTCACTGCGACTTTGTGTAAACCGGGTTCCAGGTTTTCCGACAGACCAGAGGAATGGGGACAAAGAGTTTGTTATCAGGAGAGCTGCCACAAACAGAGTCCTGAATGTGCTGCGTCACTGGGTCTCCAAACACTCGCAGGTACAGTTCACCTTTCCCTCGATCGTTTTCATTGTTTCAATCTATCTTTCTAGGCCTTTGCAGAAGAAAAACAACACTTCTGTAATGACTCTGCTGTTGTTCCTGTGTTTATCCTCAGGACTTTGAGCTCAACACAGAGCTGAAGATGCGGGTAATTGGCTTCCTGGAGGAGGTGATGCATGACCCGGAGCTCCTGACACAGGAAAGAAAGGCAGCTGCCAACATCATCAGGTTGGTTTTCTGTTAACATCGCTTGATGGCACATAAAGTCACATATGACACATTTGTTTGTCAGCTCCCTTTAGAAAAAAACTTCTGCAAAAGTATTTCTGATGCCAGCAAATGTAGATACAGTACATCCCAGGTCCCTGTTGGACCTCCACAAAATGGACCTGGACACTGACAGTGAAGCTATAGAAACTTAAATCTTTTCCTCTGAGCAGCAGTTTCACATTGTACGCAACAACCTGTCAGCATGCCCTACTGCTACTAAACATTATCAACCTGAGGAGCTGAAGCCAAAAGTGCCTGTAACCCAAACTGAATAAAGAAAGAAAGGAATACTCAGTGTGCTGGGTCAAGTTGAGCACTTTTGAACAGGTTAAGTCCATTTATGTCTACTCAGGTCATGTCAATTGTGGACAAACCTATCAGATAATGACACTTGTATGTTTTGCATGTAGGACTCTCACTCAGGAGGACCCTGGAGACAACCAGGTCACACTGGAAGAGATCACACAGATGGTGAGTGAAATAAAAGGCCTTTTCAATATAAAATAGCCCTGTACTTCTTAAAAGAGTGTTACACATCCTGTAGAAATGATTTGGGCTTTAATTGTCAAAATATGTGTTTGTGTTTGTGTCAGGCCACGGAGGACTGTAAGACTGAGCCGTTTGAGAGCCACTCTGCCCTGGAGATAGCTGAGCAACTCACGCTGCTGGACCACCTGGTCTTCAAGGTGATCCCATACGAGTGAGTACACAGGCATGCATGTGCAACGCAAACGCACAAACACGGGCACTTGGTCTATACGATAAAAAATGATAAAGGGTGATAAAGTGGGGGGCGGGGGGAGTGAAGGGAAGCGCACGCAGTAAATGCTGGTGTGTTTTTCATTGTTGATTATTTGAAAAAACATTTTCTTCTACAGGGAGTTCTTTGGTCAAGGCTGGATGAAGAACGACAAGAACGAGAGAACTCCCTATATTATGAAGACAACCAAGCATTTCAACGATGTATGTGTTTACCCTGGTATTGTGGATAAAAATGTAAATGTGTGTTATAGATAGATGGATGGATGGATGGATGAATGGATGGATGGATGGATAGATAGATACTGTAGATAGATAGATTTATTGATGCTCATTATTATTACCACGTATTTTTTCTCTCTTTTTGTCAGATCAGCAACAAGATCGCCACAGAGATCCTGCAGTGGGACGATGTCAACATGCGAGTGGGGGTGATCGAGAAATGGGTGGCAGTGGCTGACATCTGTCGCTGCCTCCACAACTACAACGCCATGCTGGAGATCACATCCTCTCTCAATCGCAGCTCCATCTTCCGCCTCAAGAAGACCTGGCTCAAAGTCTCCAAGCAGGTAACAGACATTTCTGACGTTGCTTCCCAGCAGTGACGTTAACTGGGTGCAAGATTTTCAGTATTTAGCTAAGTAATTAGTAATAAAGTTTAGCTTGCCCTAAAGGAGTAGTTTGACCACTCTGGGAAATACGCTTATTTTCTCTCTTGCTGAGCGTTAGGTGAGAAGATCAATACCACACTTAATATAAGGCTTTATGGGGGGGCAGGGACTTCCTGGACGTGAATGTGAATAAACATATTTTTTTCAAGGTTTTTTTATTGAGTCATATTGAAGAGACTTAATTTTTTTTAAATAATTTGTATCAAGAATGAAACAAAATGAAAGGAAGACAACATGCTCTTTGTGAGGCTGATTGTGATCATTTTGAAGAGCATTGTCCTCAGTTCATGAAACTCTGATAAAGATTTAAATGAACTGTTTGGCTGCTGGTAATAACAGTTTTGCTTTGATCTATTTTCTAGACAAAGACTGTGATCGACAAGTTACAGAAGCTGGTGTCATCAGAGGGGCGATTCAAAAACCTGAGAGAAGCTCTGAAGAAGTACGTATCTATAGCTTTTCACTCACACATTGTGGTGGAGGAGTTTCATACATTCCTCGTTATGTTTGAGCACTATATCTCTATAGCTGACCCTCCTCTTGTCCTCAGCTGTGACCCTCCCTGTGTTCCCTACCTGGGAATGTACCTGACTGACCTGGCCTTCATCGAGGAGGGAACACCCAACTACACCGAGGACAGCCTGGTTAACTTCTCCAAGATGAGAATGGTAGCGAACCCTAGTGTGCTGAAGTACACACAATAACATGAACATGTTGTTGTTTCTGTCTTAAATTGTTTTTATTTCATTTGTCTCCAGATATCTCACATTATCAGAGAAATACGGCAATTTCAGCAAACAGCTTACAAGATTGATTATCAACCAAAGGTGAGTTTTTCTTAAGTATTATTTTATTGTGTATTTTATACTTTTTCATGTCTTTGATTGGTTTTCCTAATAGTCTGTTCTGTTCAGTAAAAGTATATATTTGCTCAGAAGAAGTTATTTTCATCATAGTTCTTATTTATCAAGCTTACATTTCTGTTTGTTCCAGATATGCATGGCATCTTGGGAAAACTCATTTTAAATTGTGTCTGTGTTCATTATTACTTTAGGTTGCAAAGTACTTGCTGGACAGCAGTACAGTGCTGGATGAGGAGAGCCTGTATGACGCGTCTCTGAGAATCGAGCCCAAAACTTTATCATGAAGAGGATCTCTCTCTCTCTCTCTCTCTCTC